CCATGGATTTGGCAAACATATTCAGAAATAGGAGTTTTTTACAAAAACAATAAATCCAAATAACTTTATATAGTAACCAGTTTTGAATTTTTAGGCATAAAAATTTCAAAAGAACTTCATCGTAGTTTCTGTAAATAAAAGAAATAAATCTGATTCCTCACCACTACTATCATATTCATCTTTATCACAAAGTAAATCTTCAATAATTAATAAATCATCTAAACTTTGTTTTAATAAGTCGCTAATCGTAATTAATTTTTCTATAAATGTAATGAATTCATTTTCATTAGATTTGTGGACTGGCTAGGTGATTTTTACTAGTTCTTTCATATGAAATAATGAATCAAACTTCCGTTCTATTGTGTAAACCACTAAAGTGGTGCCTAAAAAGAATATATTAATGTATTAATTTAAGTTAAATAAAATTAATATTAAATATTTCTTACCATATACATGAAAGGCAAATAATTTTAGTTTTTTTAAAACGGATAAAATTAAAGTTGACTTAGTTTGATTATTGCAATTATAATAAATATAATCTCATGAATCCTTGCAAAATTTTCCAATTCTTCTTCGATCTTCAAAAATGTAGTTTTTTACATTAATATTTTCAAGATTTGCAAAAGGCCACCTGATATTTCGAGATAAAAAAATTTATATCATAAATTTTTTACTTTTTGGCTTGTCAAAAACCAAAAATTATCTGGACATTGTCTAGGACCATCCTGATTGTTTCTACATTTTGTTGCAACACTTTCAATGCTATTCCTGAATTACAGTACATAATGTTAAATGTGTTGTAAATTGAAGTAAAAAAATTTGCTTACCAAGCAGTTTGAAAAGTATATTTAGTATATTCTTTCAAAAACTCAACAAGGTGAATGATATATTGACTGGAAAATGTTGCTTTAGTTATTGATTTATCTTGATTTTTATATTGGCTATCATTCCAAATATCTTTCCTAATTAAAGCAAATATTTTAATATATATACTCACATAATTAAATATAATAAAAACACTGTATACTCACAGTTTTTTAGCAAAAAAATGAAATAATTTGAATTTTAATATTTCATTTTCACAATCAGAAAATGAAATTCTGACCAATTTTTTGTTTAAATGTTTCAAAAGAAAATTTTTGTATTTATGAGATAAGTTAATTGTTGTGAACATTGGAAAGCAAAATGATTCCCATAAATTTTCATTTTTCAGAACTATGTATATTGCTTTTTGTTTGTCTTGAATTTCTTTATTGAATATTATTCCTGATAAAATTAAATCATTCGGAGAAGCTTGATATCTATCAAAAAATTTGCTAATTGTTAAGACTTCTTTTGAAAGGCTTTCGGAATATTTTAACTATTTTATGGTTAGTATTAATCTTCATTCATTAGTTATATTAATTAAAAATAAAAAAATATTTATTTGCGAAATTTGATCTATCGCTATATTTTTCTTTATCTCAGCATTTATCACACGTTTATACTCATCATATAAATTTTCTTGAATGGAATGATGCTTAATCAATTCAGCATAAACGAGAAATTTTTTTTCTTCATAATATTTACTTAATACTTTAAACAGATCATGAAATTTTTCATCTATTTCTATCTATATAAAATCGTGAATGACTATGCTAAAATGTTATTAAATTTATCTTCTTGAACATAGGGCTGAGAATCGATTCTAAAAATTAGAATCGATGATCGAATCCCAGAAGTTATTTACTATATTTCTCCAACATGTGCACCCAGGGTATTCCCCTAGTTCTTGTTTTAGTGCCCAGGGTACTTGTTTTCACATAATTTGCAAACAGTAATAAAAATGATTATACAGAAATGAGAATCGATTCCGATTCGATTAACGATTAAAGCGATTATTATAGAATCGATTCACAGCCCTACTTGAACAACTCACCTATTTAAAATTTTTGTTGTATTGTTTCTTAATTGTTTCAGAAATTTTTTTATCATTAAAATCTACACTATTATTAATGCAGCAGTAAATAAAAAATTGGGTCAAATTGTGATTAATTTTAATTTTTTTTTTAAATTCTTTTGACATGATAAAGAAAAAGTTTATGGTTTAAATGCTTTAATTTTAAATCAACAACAATAGTAAAGAGTAAAAAGAAATTTTGTACATAATTCTACAAAGTACTGTACATACTTATTTTAAATATCGATATACTGTATAAGTGCTTTTAAAGCGAAAACCTGTTTTTTGGCTTTGAAAATTTCACTTTATAGAAATTGAATACATCCATCTTTATCGTTATGATGAAAGAAAATCAACAAAATACAGGTTTTCATTTAAACTACTCTAAACCTGCATAAAAGATTTTACCAGTACGATAGAGATGTGATCTGTTATCTATTTTCCCATTTAAAAATTACAGATATCTGGATATCCGGATTTTTTTTTATAATAATTTTATTATAAAATTGAATTAACTATAGTACGATTACGTTTATGTGTAACATAAATGTGAATGGGATAGTTCTGAAGCTTTCAAGATAATAATGATAGAGTATTTTATCTATAGTATTTTTTTTATTTTTTTTATAATTACAGTTATATATCTTAAATATTTTTATGGCCAAGTTGTGTATTAAAAAAGGTGCATTTGAAAATGCCTCCCCATTCAGTGCTCTAAACTTTGACGACCTTTTGGTAATATCCAAATAAATGTACCTAAATTCTTAATCCGAACTTTAGCATACTTATCATAAATTTTTTTAGGAATTCACCCAAAAAACTTCATTAAATTGGTTTAACCTTAAAACATTTATAACGTTCATCATTACAAAATCATCGTCTCATCTCAAACTATCACCGGAAAATACGTTATATTGGTTTAAGGAGGTTGTGTATTAGATATTTTCAAAGAACATTGCTATTAAATGTTATAAAAATGCAGAAAGAGAAGTAAACGATTTTAAGACTAAACAGATACATCTAATGGCTAGATACAGTATTAAGCCTATTAAACGATGATTAAGATCGTAGAACACTCTGGTTTTTTTTTTATTGCTTTACCTTACTTAATTTATAGTTTAGGTGGATTGTTAATCTATAGGTCTTGGACAACTGGACCTTATAATTAACCTTTCACCATTGCTTTAAAGTTTCAGGCAACCGGGCTTCGGGCAACTAAACTTTAACATTACTATTTCACTCAATACTTATTAAAGTTTTGGGCAACCAAACTTTGGCATTACTATACATTTTCATTCAAATATATTTCAAACTAATGATCAGTTTAAAAACTCGCGATGAGGACAGACATTTGGTTTTAAATATTACAAGAGTTATTATAAAGAATTGATTCTGTTAGCATTTTTATTTTAGGCAGAAAGCAAACACTTTGGTTTCTGGTATCTGGTT